GTAATCATTAAAGATTTTAAAGATAATAACGTTATTTAATATCTAGTAGGTATGTTAAAGTTATTTAAAGATTTTAATTAATTTATAATATATTAAGTTGACTATTATTTTTTTTCTTTTAAATTGTTGCTACTTTATATTTTTTTATCTTTTTATGTAAGATTTAATGAATAATTTATTTTTAAAATATATTTTACATAATAATAAATATATTTAAAAATAAATTACCTTACTAGTTTCAAGTCTTAAAAGTATATTTTATTTTATATTTTAAAAGTATTTTTAACTTTATTTTACAAGATTGGAAAAAGTTATTTACATGATATTTATAAATTAATGTATAATATATGTTAATATTATTATTATTATTATTATTATTATCATTATTATAATCATTATTATTATCATTATTATTATCATTATGATTATCATTATTATTATCATTATCATTATCATTATCATTATTATTATCATTATGATTATCATTATTATTATCATTATCGTCATTATTATTATCATTATTATTATCCTTATTATTATTATTATTATTATGATTATGATTATTATTATTATCATTATTATTATCAGTATTATCATCATCATTATTATTATTATTATTATGATTATGATTATTATTATCATTATTATTATTATTATTATTATTATTATTATTATTATTGTTATTATTATTATTATCATTTGTTTTTACTGGAAATCTACTGTAGAGCTGATCCGCCATGTAAGATCGGTGAGCCTCCTTCACTGGTACGTTGATGCTCCAAGATGGGGGTGGTACCTGCAAAAGAGACTCTGATGCCAAAGTTAGGGTTTGTGTGAGTATGAATCTCGTATAAATAATGCACGTACCTTTGTGTGATTTAGGGTTGCCTTGGGCTTTGGGCCTGAGATAAGATATAACATGATTAGATAACGGACCTCGTTTGGGGCGAGGTCCTCAGGAATCAGTTATGATTCACTTAAAAGCCGAGCTGATGGCATGCGGTGCGCGTCCGAGGTCGGCTTGCGTTGTGGTGCCGAGCTCAGAGCTCGGCTTCGCAGTACGGGTAGTACACTAGCCCCCCGAGCTCCGAAGACCGTAGGTCAAGGAGTTAAGACCGAGCTCGCTGGGGGGAGGTGACCTTTCGCGTACGTCTGCCTGTTGAGATGCCATGTGTTGTCACTGTGCATTTCCCGAAAACGTGCAAATGGCGCGTTAATGGGAGTGACGGTTATGTAATGATGGTTTGCCTTTGTCATGATGGTTTTCAATTAATGTGTCGCCAGGCGTGCCCCTTGGCCGACACGTGGCGTGGTTGTTTTGAATTTGGGAAAAACCCTTTTTTCTCCCTCGCGCCTCTTCCCTCTTCACTTTACTCACTTTTCGCTCTTTCAGCTTCTTGCGCACGCTGTTTCTCTCGTTTTTCTGCTCATCTTCCGTCTGCATTTTATCCGTTTTCGCCGTCGTTTCCGGTAACCCAGTCGTTGTTAGGGTTGTTTTCTGAGGGAGAGTACCAGGTACTTCCTTTCTACAGTCTTCTTTTTCTTTCTTCCCCAATCTTCTTCAAGTCTTTCTCGTTTTTTCCATGGCTAGGGGGAGTAGTGCCAGTTCTTCTGCGCCTTCTCGGGGCAAGGCGCGCGGTAAGGCGGTGGCTACCGGAAGAGCCACCGCCGAGAAGAGGGATCCGCCTCCACCCTGGGGCCTGGAGCCAGGCATCCCTGGCTATGACTGGGTCAAGCGTGAGATGGCCGGGGTCCAGAGCATTTTTCGGTCCTTTCTTGAGGTTAATGGGATCCCGCGGTCGTGCAGGGTTTGTGACCCTTCTATTTCTCGGATGATTCGGCTTGAACCTTGTTAGGCTGGTGAGGGTGTGTACATGGGGAAGTCTACCGACCCTCCCCATTTCTATATGTATCATTGTTTTTTTAGAGATTTAGGTGTCTGTCTTCCCTTCACTCAGTTTGAGTGTGATTTTTTGAACTTTGTGAACTCGGCTCCTTGGCAGTTGCACCCCAATAGTTAGGGTTTTTTGAGGGCTTTTCAAGTCCTGTGTACAGTTTTGGGGATAGAGGTGTCTCTTCCCGTCTTCCTTCATTTTTATCAGTTGAAGGTGGGCGTTCCGCCATACGGCTTATTATCTTTGAGTGGGAGTAGAGATGGGGGTTTGTTTACTCTTTACTCCCAGTCGTACAAAAATTTCAAGCAAGAGTTTTTTCGAGTCGCTCTTGTGAACGTTGACCCCTTGGAAGATGGGGCGTTTTATTTCGGGGGGCTGCCAAGATTTCCCTTCTATTGGTGCCCCCGACCTTCTAGGTTTCACGGGGTGGGCCAATTGAAGTTGACTGCTTCGGAGGCGGCTGCCATCGAGAACCTCGCCGCGCTTCCTCATCCGCTGGATTGCAAGCTCGTTCTGTCGCTTGCGAACTCGGCGTTCAGGGAGAGGGGTTTGGAGAGTGAGTATTTTATTTTTTGGTGGTTTGGAGTTTGTGTAAATTCCTCTTGCTGATGTGTTTTATTTCGTGTATGCAGGCATCATGGGGAAGAACTTGTGGCGTGAGCTGAAGCACCGCTACAATGTTACCGAGATCGAGGTTCCCGAGCCTCGAGAGGAAGATACCTCCCCTCTGATGGTTAAGCGGAAGAGAAAGAGGGGAGCAAGGGAGGTCGGGGGAACCTCTGCCCCCCCGGACGTCGAGGAGGTGACCTCCAAGGCTGCTGATGTTGGTGCGGTGGACCTCACCGAGAGTCCACTACCCAAGGGGACTCCTCAGGTGGCCTTTGAGGAGATGGCTCAGGCTGCTGAGGTGGCGGTTCCGGCCGCCGAGCAGGCTGCTCAGTCTGCCGAGGTGGTGAGTACCTTGGTGCTTTGTCTTTTTGACATGGTGCTGGTTTTTATAGGCGAGGTCGGAGATTCCTATCGCCGACCCTCCAGTTGCCGAGTAGGGGACGCCGGCTTCTGCCTCCGCCGAGGTTTGTGGCAAGGGGCCGAGTTTTGAGGTCCCTACGCCCACACCTGCAGCTTCGGCGTCGCCATCCGATTCGTCGCAGGAGGCTTCCCGGAGCCGGTATATAGCTCACCGCTTCGGGAAAGGCCTCTCCAAGGTGCGATTGGACCACGTGAGCGCCTCGGCAGACATGGACTCGCTGTGGAGCGCGGGGGTGACCGCTGAGAAATCCTTTCCTTAAGGCTCGTTGAGCTCCGAAGACCAGGGGCTGATAGACGAGGCCGGCCCCGAGGATGGTTTGGACGCTGCCCAGGTCCTTCTGCAGAGGGCTATGGCCATTGTGGGTCACTGGAAGCCTAGGTGGGCCAAGCAGCAAGAGGATTTGGCCAAGCTGAGGGGCCGACTTCAACCCTGGAAGGACGCGAATAAGATCTTGAGGGAGGAGAACAAGATTCTCAGTGTTGCGCTTGGTGAGGCCAAGCTGCAGGGGGCCGAGCTTCGATCTGCGAGGGGCGACCTTGCAAGGGTGCAGAAGTCTCTTGAGATCGCCTTGCGGTCCAATGAGGCTTATGCCTCCCAGGTAGGGGAGCTGTAGGAGCTCGTCGCCTTCTCTCGGGGTCGCGCCCGCTCTTTGGAGGATAAGGTGTCGTCTTCTCGTGTCCAAGTGCGGGCTCTGGAGGATGTTGTTACCTCTCTTAAAGGAGAGTTGGCGGTGGCGGCTGAGGAGTGTCTTCGTAGCAAGGTCATTCTTGGTGGCCGGGAGGACGAGATTGCCACCTTGAGGGTGGAGCTTGCGGAGCTGGCGGCAGGGAAGGCGGCCGTGGAAGGGAGGCTTGCGGAGGTCGAACGCTCCGTTGTGATGGAGCACAAGAGGGGCTTCCAAAAGGCTGCTCGTCAGGCACGGCTCCTTGCTCCCGGGTTCGACTTTTCCTCCATGCATGTGGAGAAGGTTGTCCGCTTTGGGAGGCTGGTCAAGGAGGGCGATGTCGATGAAAGTTCTAGTGAGAATGCCTCAGCCTAGGTCGCCTTTGTAATAACTTAGTTTATTTCTCCCTTTTTCATTTCCTTGTTTTTCCTTTGAACTCAATTGTTAAATTCTGCAAGTATTTTGTATATATATTGTTCTTCGAGATCCAATTTTCCTTATTTTGATTGTTTTTCTGTCTTATCGGGCTTAATCTTTTTTTTAGAGTAGGATAGACTGTGTTAAGGGTTCGAATTCGCCCTCGGATAGGCGTCCTAAGGTTCGAAATTGACCTCGAGTTTGCGTGAATTGTCTCGAGGTTCATACTCGACCTTAGTTTTTGAGGAAAATGAATTTCATCGAGGTTCATACTCGACCTCGATCTAGAGTAAAACGAGTTTTGTCAAGGTTCGTACTCGACCTCGATTTGGAGTAAAACGAATTTTGCCGAGGTTCATACTTGACTTCAAATGAGCGTATGGAGGTTTGTATTCGACCTCAATTTGGAGTAGAATGAGTTTTGTCAAGGTTCGTACTCGACCTCAATTTATTGTTAAGTGAGTGAAGGTTTGAGTTTGACCTCAATTTACTAGCGCCGAGGTTCAAAGTCGACCTCAAATTGAAGTAAAGTGAGTTGCGCTAAGGTTTGGATTCGACCTTGTATGTTTGTTAAGTAGCACGTTGTAAAGGTTCGAACTCGTCCTTGGATAAGTGGTTCGTACTCGTTCTCGAATTTATGCATTTCACCAAGGTTCGAACTCTTCCTTTGGGTTTAGAGTAATATGTGTTTCATGGGGTTCGAACTCGACCTCGGATGAGAGTGTTAAGGTTCGTACTCGACCTCATAACGTTAACGAGGTTCAGACTCGACCTCATAGTTTTAACGAGGTTCGGACTCGACCTCGTAATTTTAGCGAGGTTCGGACTCGACCTCGTAATTTTAACGAGGTTCGAACTCGACCTCGGATGAGGGTGCTTAAGGTTCATGCTCGACCTTAGTGAG